GGTAATATGTTGAGAATATTTTAACGTAAAAGTAAGTACCTTCCTAAATCTTCACATTATCTTTGAAGAATCACATTAATCTAATCAAAAAGGCCTATATCTCAATACATACGTGGTGAATTTGGGTACCTATAGTTTTGAAAAAGGTTCTGATAAGTCACGATATCAGTGCAAAGTTCAAAAACAGAAACCAAATGCATTAAACCTAGGAGAGAGGTGGCATGAAAGGGACAACTCAAGTTACGGGCAAATAACAACTTTTCTCGGGATAGAAACACTTTTGTTGTGTGATAACATCGATTCACACTAATTTGCACCAAAATTCACGGTTCTGTCTTTTCACAGACGCGAGTATTGTGCTTCTGAGTTTTTTCATGCTCAAAAGTAAATTTCTTTTAATAATTTCCAAACTTTTCGTAGTGTATACCAAATAGTTAATTGAACTGCCTGCAATTGTCCGTAATAAGTTATTTATTCCGTTGGAAATAAATAATAGGTAAGATACGTTTCAGATGAAATGGTAACTGTAGAGGTTAGATTTTCAAATTTTGTGTAATAGTCATGAAAGGGTCACAACAAACGGTTATGAAAGGGACGTCCCTTTCATAACTGTCCCTTTCGTGGTTGGCAATATTTTCTAAGTTAATGATGTCTCTTTTACCACAAATCGTCCACAGTCACCTCAAAACATCGCTGGTCCTAACGAAATTTTTAATAAAGTAAGTGTAGATAATGAGGATCTTATAGATAATTTCACTCAAAATGAATTTATTGCAAATGTCGAAGAAACGCAACCCAGACCTTCCAATGCTATAAAACTGCATACTGAATCTATTAATCCTAGTAAGCAACAGATTGAACCTTCTATATCAAACGAACCACAGCCTGGATCTTCCAACAGTGAAGTAACGCATATTGCGTTTTAAATCCACCACACCTTACACTAACTCCAAAGCAGATTAAGCCGTACTCTAAAACTACAGCTCGAAAAATAGGAGAAAATAAACGCAAAGTCAAAACTGCAATTATAACTGAAACCCCAGAAAAAGATAATTACTAATAATAATAAAATGTGATAGATATATTAAAGAAAGAAACACTCCGAGACAATAAAGAATGTTTAAAGCAAGTAAGGCGAATTGTCAAAGACAATTTAGCAGTAAAGGATTCGAGCAACATCAAAATTAACAATCAAAAAGTAAATTATTAATTCCTAATTTTTTTGAAAAATGTAGTCTTGCAGCATACGTACCTACTGATTAATAATCAGTACATGTATCGCAAGTACAAGCTGATTTTCTTTGTTATTGGGTATTGTCCCTTTCATAAACCATCGTGTCCCTTTCACTACACTCTATTAATGAAAGGGACAANTAACTGAAACATATATATATATGAAACCTTTAATCATGCTCATCTGATACGTTACCGAGATTTTCCCGAAAGAAATCTAAATGCGAGTCAAAAAAAAATGAATTTTGAGTGACATACTGCATCCTAAAGCTTTATAAGCAGAAAGAAGCTCTCGAATGATTTGTCGGTAGTTGTTAGCGTTTGTATTACCAAGAAAATTATAACACACACGAAAGCCACTCAAGCTTTTTTTTCAGCTTTATTCAACTTCGAATTGAAAACTGCATCCGTCATAAGTTCTCATATTTGCGGACCTACAAAAATCCCTTTTTTCAGTTTCGCGTCACTGATTCGAGGAAATTTTATTTTGAGATATTGAAAGCCAGCACCATCCTTGTTCATAGCTTTCACAGTTTTTCACGAGTCCCAACTTTATATGAAGTGGTGTCAGAAAATTTTTGTCACTTGACACTAGTCTGTAGAATTCTTACAAGTGCGCGGCATTTATTTAAAAAAAAATTAAATTTCTATTTTATTTTTATTATTTATGTTCATAAAAAAAATAATAAACTACATATAAA